TCGATAGCCTTGCCGATAGTCGGATCTATAACCTCCTCAGCTCGAGTTCAGTCATTTTTTTGTGTGAAGTTCGCAATTACCAAGGCCATATCGCATGTTCACCGTTGCCGCAGCGCCCTTTAGAATACCAAAGGCTCGAACAATCGCAGGTGGCATCCGGTCTTGGGGCTGGTTGATATCGAAGTTCCCTAGCGACCTGTTTTCCCGCCGATTGATTCTTAACATCGCGCTGCTAGGTTTATCCGTATTCGATCGTAGATTCTCTTACCTTTGCGTCTGGGCACCCCAATATTTATCTCCAGGAACCTGCGCGACCACCGGTCAATCACTCTGGGAAGCTAGTGCGTGGACTAAGAGGTCTCAGGGTAAACCAACCTGAACCTCACCAAACGCATCGGTTTCGGTACGAGTGCCAGATGCCTATCAAACCGAATTCCAGTCAGCCTGTTTCCTTTTGTAGTCCCATCCCATCCTATCGAACCCACCATATTGACCGATGTGCTCCCAAAAGCTCTTTCACCAGATCCGACGTTTAGACGACTAATGGAAAACAATGAGGTATGTGGACGATAGACCGGAGCGCGGATAGTGGTCATGGAACGATAGAGCTGGCAGAACGGAGAGGTTGAGGGGCTCCATCGGGACAGGACAGGTGTTTGAGATCTAGAAGCATGTGCTGCTCGGAGCGCACTCCGGGATGTGGAATTAAGCATCGTGTTAGGGTAGAAAATCAAGATGCCAAATTGAATGCGCAAACGAGGTAACAAAAGGAAAAAGAAAAATTCTTTAAATCTTGTAATACAATATCAAGAAATCCTAAGAGGGATATACGGTCTATCGCTTTTGACAACGCTGGAGAAATGCAATTGAGACGAGAAAGGTTTTGGCGAGGAGGAGAGAGTCTTTCGCATTTTGTGTCGCCGTTGGGCAATCCCGAGTCTTCCCGCGTACGCCGATACGGTTTCGCTTGGTATCATCCCGCGCAAACGCACCAAGTCCCACAATACACCAGGCAGACGGCGGTGTATTGTGTGGTAAGGCAATCATACCGGCAAAACAATTCTCCACCCATCGGCGGAAAGGGAAAAAAGCCCTTTTTTGCTGGCTTTGAGCACTGAATTGCAGGGAGGTAGGGAACAGCCTGGACAGCAATTGTGAATGTAGGAGCATCAGTTTCATACTCATGGCTACCCTCTAACTAGATCCGCCAATGCTCTTCCTCAGCTCTTCAATACATTTTTCCCGGTATCTTCTTGCGCTTTCCAAGATGTCGTCCAGGCCGCCGAATATGTGTGGTGCACCCCGGACACGAATCAGCTCTACCTGCACCCCAGCGTTTCTCAACTTGTCCGCATAGGCTTCGCCTTCGTCCCGAAGGGGATCAATCTCAGCGGTCCAGACCAGGGCAGGGGCCAGATTGGCAAAATTCGGTGCGAAGATCGGGGATATCTTCCAGTCCTGTATGCGCGAATTAGAGTGCAATGACATTGCTGTCTACATCGGCAATGGAATTGCCCTCATTCTTCGTTGACTTACATCTTCAGACTTCTCAGGCCGGGGCACACCCAGCCAATGTTTATGGAAATAGGACATCCTCTCTGCGGGGAGCGGAGCCGTGAACTCCATCTCACGGTACGACTCGTATGGTGTGTTTTCACGGTCAAATTCGCCATCGGGTGTGAAAGAGCTGTGCATATCTGTGACTGGCACAGTCAAGATTTGAAGACTCAGTGGAAACCCGTTGTCTCTACAGAGGTGAGCAACCACGATTGCCAAGTGGCCACCGGCGGATGTTCCCCCAATAGCCATGCGGTTTGTGTCAAGATTGAATTCCTCTGCTTTTGAGCGAACCTGGAACGATGTTAGCCGGAAACTGATTTGGGCGGCTTGGTGTCATCCTTCATACCCATTGGAAAGCCGCCCAGCAATCCTCGATCGCGGTAGGGTGTCTATTTTCTGGCGCAAGCCGGTAGTCGACGTCGAAAGCTACCACGCCTTCACCCAGATCATGCACGATGCGTTTGCAGGAATGATGATCCGAATTGAGATCCCCAAATACCCACCCTCCTCCATGGAAGTTGATATATGCTCCTCGCTTCTTCGGCTTGCCATCTCCGCGAATCACTAGCTTAGGTTCGAATATCCTGATCTTTATCTCGCCCCCTTTTACTGGGCACTTTTGCTCTGTGATCTTATATATATCTGGTGCAGAAGCTCGGCCATACGCAATCAAGTATTTCGCTGGATTAGCTCGGAAATCTTCTATCGGGACCTGGTGCGTGTGAAGCCGGCCAACATTGTAACGATTATAGTGATCAACGTATATGGGATCCAACTGGTGAACTAACCCGGGGGGAATGCTATTGAGCAAGGGCTGTTCGATAGTTACCGGTTTCAGATCATGGAGAGAACGATCTCCTACCCGTTCCTGGCCCTTTATTAGAAGGCTCGATGTCATTGATCTGCGATCCTACCTGGTCGGCGGCAGACATATCCGCAATCCTGCAAGCCTAGCTTTTGGCGAAAATATCCCGCTTTCGGTCGATATTCTTGGTTTGGTTAGTAGGAGATTCCTCCTGAGATTGATGAAGCGAATAACACCAATATATTTTGTCAATCGTACCCCGTCCTCAACAACGCTCTTGGTGTTGTTGTCCCGCATTCGGCATTTCGGCATGAGGATAACATGACTAAGCCCTCGGCAGTAACTAGTTACTTTCATTGGCTGCATTCAACCAATCAGTTCGCTGTATCGTCGCATTAAATCACCCAATCAATGCGCACTAAAATACAAGCAGAAAAGGGGTACAGTGAATGGCTCCAGACAGAGTGTCAGCCAATTTATAAAAACTCCAGGCAAAGATCTCAAAACTAGAGCGGATTTGATTTGCCTAATCACTCCCTCATTGACTGAGATTATGATTATGGCGAGAATATGCCCCTTCCTCGGGCTACTAGAACGCGAGCAAGGTAGGAACTGCTCGCTGATATCTAAGGCGAATCCGATACCCTCTATGCGCCATCCCTTTTGATAGCAATGACGTTTAAAGGTCATTAGCTCAAGGGATGAACGTTTGACTCTTCCCTGAATCCTTTCCTAGGAATCTGCACCGCGCCCGCCCATTTAGTGGACTCCTGGAGCCGCGTTAATGGCTCTCAGAATAGCGATTGTAGGGGCTGGTAGGATCTCCGTACCATACTTTTGTTTCATGGGACCAAAAGACTAATGTCATATATAGGCCTTTCTGGACTGGCGTCGTTGAAACAATGCCTCGAAGAAGGATTCAACGCTACAATCTTTGAGTCCCGTGATGTCATCGGTGGCCAATGGTGCTATGAAGAGCCAGACTCGGTCACCGGTGAAACAGCATCGTCGATATATGAAGGAGTCTTGCTGAATTCCTGCCGTGATACGTCGTCCTTCAGCGACTTTCCCATGGACCCTGCGCGATATCCCGACTATTTTGGCCATCGAGGATTTTTCCAGTACCTAGAGGAATACGCTGACCATTTCGGCCTCAAGGAGCATATCCGCCTCAATACCAAAGTCATCTCGTGTTCACAAAATGAAGATGGCAAATGGGCGGTGAAGACGGTGCAACAAGGAGGAGATCCGGTTGAAGATTGCTATGACGCGGTGTTCGCATGCTCTGGTGCTCTCGCTAGGCCAGTGATACCCCAGTTCGAGGGGCTGGAAACATTCAAGGGAAAGATTTTCCATAGTCGCGTCTACCGGAGGCCAACAGGGCTGGAAGGGAAAAGAGTAGCTATCATCGGCTTTGGCAACTCTGCGGCAGATTTGTCTTCTGAAATAAGCTGGCAGGCGAAAGAACTCCATCTCATTACTCGCAGAGGTGGGTGGATTGTGCCTCGCTTCGTTCTCGGCAAACCGGCTGAAACATTCGACAGTAAGTTCGCACGACCGTGTTAGATGCGTCTAATTGCAATCATACAAAACTAACGCCAGTGTAGACAGAGTAGTAGAAACCATTCTACCATCGCAGCTATCTCAGTGGTGCCAGACAAAACTATGTAACCATGTTATGGGAACACTGCCTGACATAATACAACCAGACCACGGGCTTATGGAAGCAAATGTTACGATGAGAAGTGACCTACTGGACAATATACGAACTGGGCGCATCATCCCGCATCGCGCAGCCATTCAAAGTGTCTCAGAAACGTCGTTGATCTTAACGGATGGGACTTCCATTGACGTTGATGTTGTCATCTTTTGCACTGGGTATCACCTGAGCGTTCCATATGTTCCCGAGGAGAGCTATCGGATGACATATAACGAAATCCTCAGCACTAACAACTCAATGGACCTTTACAAATTAGTGGCTTCACCTCTTTTCTCAGACCTATTTTTTATTGGCTTTGTCGAGCTCGCTGGGCCTCTGATCCCGGTAGCAGAGGTACAGGCGAGATGGGCAACTTCAGTACTTGCCGGTCGAATCAAATTGCCTCCCATGGAAGAGGTGTATGACGATATAGCAGTTTATCAGGCATCACTAGTGTCAAGCGTAGGTTGTTCCTTTCAGCATCGACCGATTTTGAGTGAGCCACGGCTAATTTCGAGTATGCAGATGGTGAATTCTGACCGGCACACTGTCACCATCCGCTACCTGCCCTACTGCGACGATCTCTTGAGAGACATCGGCGCTACACCCACATTTCGACGCCTATTCCTCAATTTGTTCAGCTCGAACCCTTTCAGAGCGGCAAGATTGCTCAGAACAGTATACTTTGGAATTAATTCTCCAGCCCAGTACAGGCTATTTGGTCATGGAAGCAAGCCAAATCTTGCATCTGCGACATTATTGAGACTAGCCGATGAAGATGAGGGACTGAGCGAAGAGGAACGATATCACCTGGGGATGTCCGATCTGGAAAGCCCCGAGCAGGTGGAAGAGAGTTCCTGAGCTAGTGAAGGTGATAATTATTCTTAATACCCCTTCGTGCACCTAGTGGGGACCTGTGACACTCGCTCTATCAATTCATTATCTGTATACCTGATATTGTTCCGTCTTCATTGTTGTTTCAAGCGCCGAGTCACAGCCGGTGAGCTGAGATGATAACAATCATCACAGCTAGCTACGGATTAGTAGATAAACGATGACGGGACTTGGAGTCTGCACATGATAGTTCGGATCTTCGAATATCTCTTTCACATATCATGGTAACATTAGTGTGGCAAAAAAAAGGGAAAGGCAGAAAGAAACAGAGAGATCTGGTCATTCTCTCCGTAAAGCCGCCCATCAAAGATTCAACTCAAGACAAGTGAGAGAAGCGCATATTTCTCTAGGCCAGTCGCAAATGAACCCCGCTCCTTCTCATCTTCTATGTCAACCGCTGTATATTAGCTCAAGTCCGCTGATTAGCAGGATTGACTCTGGAAGAGGCTCTTTCAAATCCTACTAAGCTTGGTCGGGCAGCTAATAGGTGAAAGCGGGAGGGGACGGGAGGTCTGTCTTAAAAGTTAACTTAGTTTTTTTTTTCTGGAGGGCTTGGGATGAGATGTCGCTTTCCGTGGATTTGACTCGCTTTGTAAGTCAATCAGAAGTTTTTGTGTTGCACTGTGCTTTTGCTTTGGAAGATTCCTGGACCGGGTTACTCTCTGCAAAGCCGATATCTGGAGTGGGTGTGAACACCCTTGGTTCCGGCGCACAGAGAACATAGGGAGGATAGTGGGAAGTTGATTTGAGATACCGGTAGCTTATCACTGCGGACAGCAAGCATTTATAAGTCAAGACATGTCGGTATTGATCGGCAGGTAGTTAAGTAGGTGGGTTAGGGGATGCAGGCGGATACGTAAAAGATGCCAACGCATATGCTATGTACAATAGGAATGACAATAGTTCGGCATACAAAGGAAGTTAAACCCGCCTTTGCTTTTGGAAACTAAAAGAATTCCCATACTCCTTTTCACGCACGCCCACATGACGGAATATGATGAGTTGATGCAATTGAGCTCCGGCACCCCCGAACTCCATCCATGGTTTCACAAACGGAGCAAAAAAGAGGCCGCAAGTAAGGGACAAGGGGGAAGGGTTGAAATAATGCAATGCAAAAAGGTAAGCAAACCTTGCTTCAGAGATTGACAGGTGTCCCCATCTTGAACGGGGTTCTCCAGAATGCCCACCACTTGGAAATCTCCTCTCATGATAGATATGAGAGATTCAGGCTGGATGGGTGAAACAAGGTTACAAATTAAGTTAAGAGTTCTGATAGCTTGAACAAAGGGCATATAGATGCCTCCTGTGAGTTGACCTAATCCAGCATGTCCGCAACACTCTCTGAAGATGACCTGTTCCAAAGATAACTAGCTAGACCATTTGGGCAGGGTGGACGTTCCATAACTCTATCCGTAGCAAATGGAAGAGGTAGGAAAGGCCGACGAGAGCCAAACGAACATCCTGACGAAGACCACTCGGTCTTGGTCTCCGACAACAGGAACGACTCAGCAGGCTGAACGTCTGGAAGCACAAAAGTCGGATTGTTCTCGCCTGCTGGGTAGTCCAAGGCCATCAGATGGCGGACTTTATGTTGTAGGTCCATGTCGTTAGAGCTAGTACGTCCACGTTTCCGAGAGGATCGACAAGGCGACCTCAAAGCGGACGACTTATTGGAGCGGGGCACAGCTACAGAGAGCTCGCAAAGACTCTGCGCAGCCTCGTGAGCCATGTCAACTGATGCATCCAGAGAGAACTTGGCCAGATCTGGAAAGTGAGTGCTAGAAGCAGACATGGGCTCAGGGGATGCGAAGATATCTGAGCAAGACCTTTCATCAATTGGCGAAGCGATCGTAAACGTCTTCTTGCCATCTCTCGTGCTTGCGCAGCGACGAGTCGCCCGGGTAGCTAGACGAGGCAATGTAGGCGCGCAGGTTCCTGACGCAACAGAAGAGATGGAAGAAGATCGAGAAGACCGGCTTGACCGCGACGATGTCAGGGATGGAACATCGGATATCATCGAGTCCGGAGACGAAGTGGATGAGCGAGCGAGAGACGAACGACGAGTGCAAACAGGGTACGACTCTGAAGGAAGTGATTTACTAGTATACATACGTAAAGGTGGTCTTTGGTCGAGCGTTGTACGTTGAGCGCACATATTCTGCGCTTGTCGCATAGCGGAAGTCATAGATGGCCCACGAGCGGTGAACGGAAGAACACTCGCTGCAGGAGTATTGTTCGAGAGGCTCTGCGGGCTCATCTGCGGAGTTGGAAGAACACCGAGTTTAAGAGGATTTGGCAACAGTATCGGTTGTGATTCTGCGCTATGGCTGATCTGAGCATCGAATTTTCGATCGCATGTTGGCACCTGGTTGGCTGCCAAAGATCGGCGCCGACAACCAGTGTCAGGAGAACTGGTCGGACTCAGAGTTTGAATGGGTGGTAGGAGATCCTGGATGGCAACAGGCCCAGTGCAAGCGTTATCCAAATCGACGTTGTCGAGTTCGGGAGTCAGAGATGGTATGACCGTCTTCCAAGACAGGCCTTCGCCGTTAAAGCTATGGTCAGATGACGGTGTATACCGCAAAACGATATCGGTCCAGCGCTGAAAAACAGGCTCCGAAATATGAAGCCTCCATCCTACCGCCTGGAGAAAGATCAGTTCGTTTTGGTTGATCTCTGTAGTACTCAAACCCGAAATTTTGCTCCAAGCACGAGCAGAATAGTTTCTGTCCTGAAGGTACTTTGAAGCCAAAATCAGGGCTGATAGGAACATGCGTCGGCCGCACTGCATAGCGCGAGAGTATTCCTGAACATGTGGTTGTTCCATGGTAAAATTATGGCTTGGTATGCGTTGTTTGATCAAAATAAGATAGTATAAGGCTACCTGCAGCGTCGAATAGCTGGTTCGAGATCTCCTGAGGGTTTCCCGAATAAAGCTTCGGAGGGGTAAGACTCCTTTGCAACCCAAAGTTGAGTCGCTCCGGGCAGCCTCGACTGCGAGTGGCCATATGATTTCGACAATTTGCGCAGCAGAGTCTTCAATAATCGGAAAAAGAGAGCAGGGATTCACAGTCAGACAAGAAACAAGCACGAGGGAAGGATTTTCTCCCACTTACCGACAAGCCGATCGACAAAACCGAACCTCAGATGGGACGCGCGCACCAGCGGAGGCGGTTGACGCGGACAGCTTTTGCCGATATCAGCGTTTGCGGTCCGAAATACACGTCGCGGGTGTCGACGAAGGTCAGGGGCCACGGTATTCTCGTCGGTAACTTTACCATAACCCGATTTTCCTAGTGGACAGTGCGAACTAGGCTGGTTTGTCACGCTTGGGCATCTTCCTTGACCCGAATTTTCATCATTCTCCCAGATCACGTCTATCGACGAAGACGAGATCGACGAGCTTGAGCTCTGAGAGGAAAGAGAGTCAAGTGAAAAGACGGAGGAGGAAGATGAGGACGCAGACGATGCGATTGACGAGGCGTACGGGTAAGGGCGCGGTAAAGCATGTTGCAGGTAAGGATTTACAAAATTGAAATCCAGGGTGTCCATTACTGACATATCCCAAAAGCACAACCGCGCACACTCTATATCAAACTAACACAGGGTTGGAAGCGGAGGTGGTGGTGGGAGGTAAGGACAATAAATAATCCGGGTTGTTGGGGGGGGGAATAGACCGTTTCGATAGAACCGTATAGGGGCAGCGAGGGGACAGGCCCGTCTTTGATGGTAACAAAGGTGACGGGGAAACCTTTTAACCTTGACGCAGAGCCAGGTTGGTTTGCGGTAAGGTGAATGACTATTTATATGTGAGTCACCCTAGATCGGGGACCGGGCGAAGAGAAGAATGAGTCGGTGCGCCGGCAGGAGGAAGTAGGCGGGCGTATACGATAGAGACGGAGAGGGCGAGATATTGTGGAGGCGTTGTAGGAGGGTGGTAAGGAGGAGTGGTGGTGGTAGCAGGAGGAGGAAGAGGACGAGTTCCGATCACCACCTGCGAGATTCCAAGAACAAGAGACAGCAACACAAAAAGCAACACACAACGGCAGGGCTGAAAGACAAAAGAAACAAAACGGCGCGAAGAGATGACTAGCGTCGGAGGAACAGAGGGCAGATATGCAAGGTACCAGGTCACAGCGGACGAGGAGGCACAGCCTGTTGTTATGTACTGGTTGTGGCGTGGCGCGTAGACACTCCGGATTAGGCAGTGTGACTCCCCAGCGGCAAAACCAGGCTCTCTAAACGCAGGTAGTCATCTCGACACGAATAAGGGGCAACGCAGGCTTGGAATCTTCGCAGGCGATGATCGGATCGTAGGCAAGAATACAGGCAAAGAGCATCGTCATTGTTGAGAAGGTAAGTGAGGGTGGTTGGACAGGCCCAGGCCGCACCAGCTAAGCGGTCGCGCTTATCCAGGCGGCTGTCTGGAGTTGATCAGTAGGAAGCCAGGATGACACAAGAGAAGGGGAGTATCGCGGTTGCTCTGTGCTTCCTCTTTTCGACAGTTATTCTCGATTTATTGAGACATTCCAACGAAGGACCGAAACCGGACGAGATGGGAGTCAGAGAGGCAGGGCGGCGATGAAGGCGAAAAAAGGACGATGAGAACTAAGAAACGCTGAGTAAGTCAGCCATCGGGCGCAAAAAACTCTAAGGAGACGATGACTCCTTCGTTGATAAGGGGAGGAGTGGTGATGCGACTTCGCGGGCTTGGGCCATCAAATGAGTCGATCGCGAGTTGTGGTGGCGAGGTGGCAAGGGAGGCTCGGGGTCCACGCAGTGGAGGTGGTGCGGTCGACAGGCAACTCTGGCGACAAAAGGAACGGCCACATACCTCGTGGTTAGGACTGTTGCTGGTACTCTGGACAGTCTTTTGGTTTAAAGGCGTGCGTTTGGCATCGAATATCGACGGTTGGGTATTCGAAGGATAGTGGCAATGAGACAAATCACAGCGGAGTCATTCAAACAGTCACCGCCAACAACACTAAAGCAGAAATAGAGAACGGAGTGGCGAGTGTACAGTCGCAGTAGAGACGAGAAGCAAAGATACTGAATATAAACCGACTGTTTTTTACGATGAACAACAAGCAGACCAGAGTTGAGAAGTAATGTGGAAGACGAGTCAAGGGCAAAGAGGCCGCTCCGCAGGCCTTTTTGAATCCCCAGTTCTTTTTAGCCGTTCTGACAAGCCCATTTGTTAGTTCAATGCTCGGGATGGCTGATGAGTCGAAGCCTTGAAGCGGATTTGACGCCAGGCTCTTGTCCTTCCCCCCCCCTTTTTACGTCGCCAATGCGGATTTTTAGGCTTCAAAGCGTCAAGGATGGTGGGGGCTGGGAAAAAAATAAAAAATAACGAACAAAACGGAATTCGAGGAGCAGATTCAAATCAAGCATATCAGGCACACGCAACAACCAGCCAGCAGCAGAAGCAACATTAGCCAGAACGGCGAACAAGGGGGCCGTCTTCGATAGCGTAGGTTGCCATCGCAACAAAGGGGCCAGGCAGCGACCGCGATGGGGTTTCAGCGCCGCGAGAAGGGGAAGAAGAAGAAGAAGAAGAAAACGAGCCTCGTGACATACCTAGAGGGACTGAGCTTGCTGTGGCCTGGAATCATCAACCAGCCCGTGAGCTGATTCGTGAGACAAGAGGGGAGCTGAGCAGATGGTCAGTCTGACCGGATCGAATGGAGTGGAAGTTGGTGGTGCATTTACTAGGGAAGAGTGCGGAGTGGAGAGTAAGACTGTAGAAAGACAACAGGGAAGATGATGGAGAAAAGCCCTGTGGCGGACTGTGCTGTATATGTAATCCCTTCACTGCCTCTCCAGCCCATGGTTACTCTGTGCCCTTCATCAATTCGTTACTCTACAGATACGGCTGCAGGGTTGGCAATCGCTGATGGAACAACGGCTTCACCAAAAACCCTGCCTGCAGCCATGCTGATCACACGAGTCTACAGCTTCACTTTTCCGGCTCTCCCTGAAAAGAATCATAATTACTTTCATCCCAAACAAAGCTTATAATAATTCACGAACAAGCAGGATTCCCCGATCCGTCCTCTCTGTTGTTGTTTGCCCAAAAGGCGCCGACGGGATGCCACGGACCGACTCGTGAGTCATCGTCCACTGGTCGCAGCCCAATTGGAAAAGGCCTATTACTCTCACGTATTCTCGCCATCCTAGCCCTAAAATAGCGCGGAGATAAGGCGAAACGCCCTCTTCGTCGACGAGGAAGCAAATTCGAGCTTGATCTCATCTTCCAAACTGGGTTGCTCCGGCTTGCGTGGACCGTGGTTGGTCGAATGTTGGGGGGAGAACCTCCGCATTTCCGTTCGATTTGTCCGATCGGGAGAGAAGACCTTGGATCGCGGTATCTTCAGGGAAATGTTGTTTTCTGTGCCACCTGGGGGGAAAACACAGTGCGCCGGTTCCGGCATCCCACATACCACAGCAATCAACCCATATCCGCCGTAATAAGGAAACGTAGCCTTTTTCAAATCAGGAATTGACTTGGATCAAGCAACGTCTGTCCCGAAGCTGTGAACGAAAAGAGTTTCACAGTAGCCGAGGGTACTCCCAAACGTCTATCCCCAAAAGCCCATGCCCAGCCGGATATGAAGTTAGGCACGGGGTTAATTAACATTAATATCGTCGTCCCAATAGCGCCCAGCTTGAAATATACCCCAAAACCCGAAAGCAAAGCAGGTCATATCAACGCCCTGTACTATGTTCTGCAACGCCAGCTCAAAGTTTATCGACAAATTCGGCGGCAAAGGGGGTTCATGAATGGGAAAATGGTGTTGCATTCGAAGGAGCAGAGCCGTCATGATGCTGGGCCTTCCAAATCCTGTACGAGATTCTCGAGAAACTCCATCAACGAGCGATCCTTGCAGTTCGAGATCCCCTTGGCGCAATCGCCGCACACGCGTAAGTAACAAAAGGCGCACCGCCACCGCGCCTGTCGATCGGCCTTGAGGCAGGTCATACAAGGCACTGCGAAGTACGTATTTCGCGAAACCATAAATGATCGATGAGATTGATAGCAGGAGAAGTGCACCTTGGTGAGCGGCGGAACGACGTCGACTTCGACGATTGACGGCGTGTTCGAGCGCTGCTCGGTTGATCCCGCCTTGGACTTGTCTGAATTCGACAACCCGCCGGGGCTTCGAGGGCCCTGTTCCCCCTCCCTACTTGCGCCCGAGTATTCGCTGCCGCTCGGCGGCGAGGTAGGGCGCTGAGATCGAAAGTGCGCGCGATGGGAGTCCTTTCGCTGCGGGTGTGGTGAGTGGATGTGGGTGGGAGGCGCGCGCGGAACGCCGTTGGACGCGCTGTTCTCCCAGTGTCCATCCATTGGGATCGGTTTCATCGGATGCGGTTGCATTGGGGGAAGTTTAGAAGACTGGAGGCTGTCACCACGAAGCACCATCGCTTTACCAGGTCGATGTCCGGACAATTCAACCGCGACAACGGAGATATCTGAGCGATCCATCCGTTTCTTTTTTTTCCTTTATTTCTCCTCAAGGGGGGGGCAAATTGGACGGGCGTACAGGGAACAGGCCGGCTATTCAAATTTCAGGAAAATTGCGCGCAGTCCTTGCGGGCAATCGAGCGGAAGCCCCTAGGTTATATAGAGAAATGGGCTCTGAGTCGCACCAATGCAACAAATTGGCCATAAAATATTAAAAGGCTTAGCTCCGATTGAAGCTTGGATGGGATCAACCACCGTGGCAATTGAGGAAATGCTCATTGCTCGGTACTTCGTATTAGAAGTAAATCACAAATATAAGAATCTCTCTCCATTTCGACGACTGTGGCTCTGGTAGCCAATGATTCAAATTGCAAAGAAAAATGAGTGGAAACCACCCCGCAACGGCAGAGCAGGAACAGGCAGGACGATGGCTGATGGACGGGCCATCTTGCTCGCTTCGCTGCCAACTGAAGCTTCAAAGCTGGTGTGAAAAGAAAAGCACAGCTCATGGATACGTGGGACGAGTCAGATCTGGCTCTGATTCCAGCAGCGAAAAAGCCACCAGGAAAAACAGCCTGTTGATTGACCAGAGATCGCACCTTGGAGCAGCCTATCACTGTGACAAGTTGGCGAGGATTTTCGGACTAGGAGAGGGGAATTGGGTCCGCTGGGTGGCTCCAAATTAGCCAGGACTGGGATTAAAGCGATGCCGTAATGCCGTCTCGATAGAATATTCCCATCTTGTGAGGGATCGCTCGTTCAACATCAAAGCCTTCTCTGGTCATCAGCATGTTCAAGGTGTAGTTACTCGGTAGCACCACTGGCATAGTTCACTACAGAACCATCAGTCCTGGAACTCGGAAAAATCTCTGTCTCCTCATCAGCAATCTGCAGTGCGACGTGCATGGCTCACACGCTATTTGAAGGGCCAATGAACCTCCGCCCCCTCTGTGATCAGTTTTGCTGGTGGCTGGCGAGCCTTGAGTGGGAACAGGCGCCGAGAGCCAGAGAAACCAGGTTTATGCACACCGCATCATGAGAGAGCAACTCATCGGAATATTATTTTGTCGAAAAGGCAAGCCGCGTCAGGTCGAGTTGACGCCATCTGTTTGACATCTTGTTTCCTGTTCCACCACCGGGGGCCTGCACGGAATCACATCTCCATCGTTCCTTTTGCCCATCGACACTGCAGTCTGGATCTCGACGGACAATCTAGTTCGGCATTCAACCGGAGGACCACTGTTAGAACAGCCTGAGAGAAAACTCCCGGAAGCTTGATTTCGAACGCAGGTTTTTTCTCTTCTTCTCGACTTTGTATTTCAGATGGCGAATTGGTTTGTCCTTAGAGACACCGAAACTCTCTCGGTTTAACTGACTATCATTCTCACCGAAAAAAAACATACAACAGCCAGGATTCACTGGTGGTCACCCACCCAACTACTAGCCAGCTGGCAAGTGGCTTAAGTACGGCTGAGCGGACGGGAAGCCCTGTATTCCACTTCCTGTGGTCATATGTGTCTGTTTAGAAGGGAGTTCCACACAATTAACCGGATTCATTAATGTGTATCAGTATTCAAACTGGTGGATTCTGAGGACCACAGTGGTGGCCATACTGGAAGAGTGTGCTGCCGCTCCATTCCTTTACCTCCTTGTCCATGAAGGCGCTCATACCATATCTCTCCTCAGCTGTCAGTTGCTGAATCCTATCTTCAAGGCCATCCTCACCAAAAAACTTTCTATCAATTTTCGCCCAGTATACCAGGTCAAATGCCCACCTGCATCACGCCCCATAGTTAATCCAGAAGTCACAAGCTTCCCAACTTTGCTTCATTCATTCCGCTGGACGCTGGGGTTTGCTGATCACACCTCAATGAAGAGCACCTTCTTCTTGCTTTCAAATGGTGTCTAGGGAGGTTGTGAAACGGGCTTTGTAAGCTTTGTCCAGTTATCTAACTAAGCCCTGGGTCCAGTATTCAGGTAGCTCAATGAGAAGCCAGAAAAGGGGGCTGTCTGCAAAACTAGGTGGTTCTGCATGGGTAAACTCCCAATCCACCATGCATTGGCAGGGTGGAAATTGTCACAAACAGCTTGAATGGATGGCGGTTATTGGTAGAGAGTCGTCCATCACGCGTGAGCTTGCAGAATAAGCAGCAGGATATGTACTTGCACTTGAAGTCTCTGGCTGACGTGATGATTCCATTTGTCTGGGATGCAAAATGGGCCATGTGCATCTCGGCTAAGGCAAAATAAAAGGAGTCGGAAGTGTCAAATGGCTTGGTTGGGGTGCAAGAGAGAAGCCCCGCCCAGTTGGATCAATTCATTCATATTCAAGATCAATGGATGATGTTTGACCTCCCAGCGGTAGTCAAATTCATCATCTTCAACAACTTTCGAAATCGACCCAATTGCATTGGATGAATGCTGATTGAGCTGAAGTAAAAAATAGTTGCCATTTGAGAGTATGCAGTCTGGAGAACATCCATGGCGGTCTCAGGGTTTAAGGATGGTTGCTCATGTCTCGCAATACCAGGAGTATTGAGAACGTCAATAAGATCAGACTCATGTTTAACATAGTCCATGATAATAACCGGCCCAAGTCAACTGGGGTTCTCTTCTGCTGGGCCTTAGTGCATTGACTTTCCAGGGGACGGTACTCGAGCAACCGCCGACCCGCCGTCCGTGAACTCCATCTGCATCCAGACATTGAATGCGCCGCGGCCCGGGTAGCATAGCTCCTCGGGAACACCTCCACGCCATTTATCTATCAATCCCCCAATCTCTCACAATCGGGTTTTGTCCAGAAGCTTGCTGGTTTTCCAAGCTTCAAAGAGAAGGTCACTGACATCCCAGGCGAGATCATCGTAGTCAATATCCTCAACAGTGGTAACTGGGTCTGATAGCATTTTCTTGGCCGTTTCAGTGGGCTTGGAGGCCATGAATACAATCAAAACCCGGACAAAGAAATGAGAAGCCATCGATATAGTTGTAGCAAGGAACATAAAGACTGCAAAAGCCGTTAAGAGGTAGAGACGCACAAAGGCTCAATAGCTCAAGAAAGCTGCCAAACCTATCTAAAGAAAAGCGCAGAGGGCTAAGAAAGAGGCTAAGAAAATCAAAGAAGCTAGAGTAGTTAGTTGACTGGTTAACTAACTACTTGAATGAGCTCAGTATAAAAGGGAGGAGATAAAGCAAGGGAAGGATCTCAGGAAGAATTGTCAAAAGGGCACAGAAGGATGAAATCGAACACAGCTGAAAATTGAATCCCTTGAGTTCTCTGTTATGATCCTATTTCCATGAAATTCAACTCAACAAATGCCATCACTCTTATTCCAGAGGAGCTGATTTCACTGACCTGCGCTCTTTTCAGTCACATTATTATGATAAACAAGTCTTTCTCATCCCATAAGTAGTTGCAACAAGCAACACTTTATAAGATCTGACAATATCTTTCCTAGTCACCTGCTGTTCAGCTGCAGCAGTGAGCACTGCTTATTGAAACACAACATCACCACAGTATATCCCCAATACTTGATACCATTGCAACTTATTTGTACAGATGATTAACAGTGGAAGTCCGTCAGAGCCCCTCTCCCAGCGTCCCACCTCGTTCAAGTCCCGACATATAGGCTTTGATCCTTCTTCGGTCGACCCTTGATGCGCGACCTCATTGTAGCAGCCCAAATATCCGGCCGAAATACTGACTAACGCCGGTCCCGCCAAACTCTGTACTCGCACAAAAACCAAACCCCCATCAATCAAAGTCGATGTCTTCATGGGTTCATCAATTGAAAAACCATCATCGGCCTTTCGTGAGAAAACGGTATGAAATGGCCCGCGCGTGTGAAGCTGTATGCGGGATTCGAAGCGGAGAAGAAGGGCAAGTATTAGTTGAGCATCGGCGCCTGTCACAGCATGAAGCTCAGTGATAGATCGACAAACAACTTGTCCGAGAAGAAAGTCCCTCCACGGCCAATTTTCAACACGTACTGATTTGGCAACTACCATGACAAATCCTGCTAGAGCCCAACAGAATATCGCAATATTGAAGGGATCCACCCCCCTGATACGGGTCTCGACAGAGAGGCCGATGGCCAGACCGCCGGCCACGAGCACCCCGCAGACAGATAGCACACTCCAAGAATACCAGGCAGACGGAACAATGATCGATTTTTCGTCCATGGTCCACTGGCTCATTGCGTCCATGCCCTCTTTGACCCTTTCCATTGCTTTCTCACGGTCCCGACGCAGCTTATCCTCGGGAGAATAGCAGTGGGAAGTAGCAACAACTCTTGCCCACATCGGAGTGTTTGGTACTGAGCAAACCCCGGTCTCGCTTATAAGACCTGATCTTTTCTCGCGATATGCACTTGTCCTTATACTAAAAGCAGCGATAAAGCGGATCTCGGCAAAAGGGCGAACAGGCTCCGTTGGATCAGTGTAAAAGGAGGCCCCTGTCAAGAACGTGTTCAGGAGAAAGGCAATCTTCCCATCCATCATTAAAAATGGCACTAAGGCCGTGATTAGGCTGTCCATATTGTAAAAGAGAATCTTTCCAGAGTCGCTTCCCTTGAGATTCCCATCCTGTCCGAGATCTGTCCATTTCCATTGGATTTCCGTAAACTGGGTATCTGCCGCGGCTGTTTGTTGAGACCTCTGGAGTGGTCTCAGTGTCTCTCGACATACCTCAAATATCGTGGTCGCACAGCGGATTTCCAAAGGATTAGAGGTAATCCCTATCGAACCATCACGCCCACCACAGAGCAGAGTTAGTCGGCCATTCACGTAGGTCTCATATATAAGCGCACTGGCCTCGAAGACGTCCACTGGCAACCCAGATCTCTTAGCTGACCCGAGATTGACGCTGATGGCATCCAAAAGAGCAAAAATAGACTGCTCAAACACATGAATCTGGTGAAAGTACTTCAAGCTTGCGTTAGAGCGATCCCCCTGTAAGGCTTTTCGACGCCGTTCAAATGGGCTTTCTTTATCGTCACCGTCCGGCATCACCATGGAAGGCGAGTCCTTTTGGCGAAGCATGCGATGTCGAACTTCCGATGCGGCCTGCAGAGACGTGCTGATAGCCCCAGCGAGGTCAAAGGCGATGACCTTCAACTTTGCAGCATGCTTAGCCACTGAGGCAATGCAGTTATGCTGCCAGTATGGGCCCTCAGCAGATCTCAGCAGAACCCGAATCAGCACCGCTGTGATGTAATCGACTAAAGCATGGTAGCATTCCTCGTTACCTTCCTCTAAGCGGAGAGACGAGTGGTACCTCTCTTTTCTTTCATGTACGTCGAATTCGTTCCTCAGCTTTTGTTCACCGATTTCGAAAAATTTGAAGTTTGCCAGTTCGGGACAGAATTCAATGAGGAGCAGTTGGCTATCATGGACGCAAACAGAGAGTGCTTGCACGATCTGCATCGAGAGCCTATCTAATTTTGAATAGCCGTCTTGATCGACGCTTCCGAGCAATGCATCAATATTTCGGTATGCGCCGTTGTTTAGCGTAAGAGGATTGTCCATGTCTGCGGCATCGAGTAATCTTCGCACTTCTTCCTCCCATAGTTTCAACTCGTCGTCCTCACTTATTCCATATGCCGTAAGGTCGTGGAATTTGGGAAGGTTGTGCATCTCATAACCTTCCGCGACGGTGAACACCTTGTGCTTGCGGAGAATTTTTTGAATCTCCGGTAAACTGAAGTTGAAGTTCCAGTTTCTTGCGGCATAGTTTGAGTCAATCGAGGGATTAGGGCCAGCTCCGGGGGTGGTAGCCCCGTGATAGGAGAGATACGTGCTTTGTCGAGTCAGCCTTGGCATAGTTATCCGGTCGTTCTGGTTTGGCACCGTCTCGAAAGCAGCGAGGTCAAATGGAACAGGAGCGCCGATTGCACAAGTTGACAGAAAGGTGGCAGTCAACGCGGCGTTCTAATGCCTGGGCTTTATAAGATATTCTCTGTTGGCCAAGTGGTAGATGCCTGCTTCGTGCCCGACATAAATGCACTCCATTTCAGATATCACTCCCTTGGTTTCCCCTCTTTCCTCCCCGCCGCCTGCACGCGCTCCGAAAAGGCGAACATTCTCAATGCCATCATCACCAAAGTCGGGTTCGAATATTTTGAGTTCTGACCGGTAGCGCCTTGCCTGAGGTCTCATCTGAGGAGAAAGCTTGCAAACAGGGCGGGATTGTTGAGACGTGGATGATGGCGACTTGACGTTGTGGTTGACTCGGACCTGCAAGGCTGGCTTGTGGCTTGGCCCCAGCATCGTGCTGGGTGTCGAAGCAGTGCATTCATCATGTTGATTGGAATGCTTCAATGCGAGCCCTGGATGATCTGCTCAAAAGTTCGCGAAGATTTTAACTTCCCATTCCATCTTAAACCTAATCTAGCAGTCGATCTTCAACCGCGGAGTTAATTACATGCATAACTATCGTTACAGCCTTCCGCGCCTACATCCTCTTGACTGGCAAGCTGAACCCCCATCGCTCGTCGGGCTGATTGGACTGGGGGCGGAGGGCGTTTGGATTTGACCTTTTAAGACTCGACTGTCCAGGAAATTGACAAGCATGATGATGTTGCACTTCACTTGCGAGTCAAAAAATGGCTTCAAGTTCCGACCCAGCGTCTGAGCAGTCGACAGCAAAAGCATCGGCTGCTTCCTCCTCAAAGATCACAGGGCCGACACGAAATGCGGGGAGTCTGTTCAGGTTATACGAATCTGTCACGTCCACTCAGCCCACGGGTACAGAAGGGACTTCCAGCGAAACAGCACAATACAAATCGGATTTTATCGACATCGTCGAGCTCCGGGAACCGTATGGCGAACCAGAAATCTTCAAAACAAGCGCTAATCTCAAGCGATCACCGATTAAGAACCGGAAGTTTGGGGAATATGCTCTTCTTGTCCGGCAGATCGTTCGAAAAGATGGCCGGTATGCGCCGAGGACTCAACTCGAAATACAGTCTCCCATTTTGACGACTGCGTTTCGCGATCTTGCGCAAGGTTTTGCCGGCTTCAATCTTCACAGCAATCCCATCATTATACCTGAGCCGTATTCTGCATATTATTACTGTCGGGAGAAGATTTCAGAAAGAATTCAAAACGCAAAAACAGCTAACCTAAAAGCTGAGCTCGAACTTTTTAAGACTTTTGAGAGGGCGCTTCTAAGCCAGACAATTAGGGACATAGAGGACTTACTTGCGACAGGCCACATTACCTTTGACCTCCTTTGGGCTTTATTCGCACCTGGCGAACCTTTGATACTACAAAACTTACAAGCAAGTGCAACTCCGGTGCTATCCTGTTCATTAACCAGACACTATCAAGAAGTTTCCTGCCAGGACACTGTTAATTGGAGCATATCGACCCTTGGTTTTAGATTCGATGGATCTCGATTTGGAAATGTGGAAGCCTCCTTCACCTTTCCCTCGTTTGCTGGCGCCATAGCTATCACTTCACTGCCCATCTACCCGCTCAAGTATCATCCCAACCAAGAGGGCTTACGTCAAAAGTTCATTAAACGGGGCCGTATATATTTGGAGTTGTGCCGGGTCGAATCAAAATCGGTTGCAAAACCACACTCGGCTGGGGTTCACAAGACATACAAAGGGCCGTGTTGGCTACCTAAAAGCCCCTCTGAAAATAGGAAAGGCTGTAATTACTTTGACGCCCCTGCTACACAGGTGGGTTAACTCCACTTCTAATTAATTTAACATGGCTAAAAAGTTCACTTAAAGGTATCGGGCCGAGTCATGCTAGACCCATCGGGTTTTGTTGACGAGATGCCGCAGTTTCGGGATACCGTCGTTCCCGGGCCGACAGGGAAATCCGCCAATTGTGCCAGTCACAGTTGCCTTGAGGTCGACTTTAGTGAAATTATCGCCGAACAATTTTCTCTGATTCAGGAGCAGCCAACTGACGACCAACTGCTTACTTGTCCCGCTGTCGTTCCAGGATACTCATTGAGGGACAAGTCATGGGGTTATTTTCTTATTGATAACCTTAAACCAATTGTGTGGGAGGATGACGCTTTTAATCATCTTCAGTTAAATCCCGAATGCAAATCGGTCATCAGGGCGCTTGTTTCAGGGCACCAGAGTGTGAGAGAAGATTTTGATGATCTAGTTTCCGGAAAGGGTCGAGGCTTGGTCTTTTTACTTCATGGCCCTCCAGGGAGTGGGAAGACATTGACTGCAGGTAACATATTCTTCCGTGGCTTTTGATGCAATGGCCTACGTTCTGATAGTTTACCGCAGAAAGTGTTGCCGAATCCCTCCATCGCCCATTATACCACGTCACTAGCGGAGAACTGGGCGTGGATGTTGATAAATTGGAAGCCCGCCTCCAAAAGGTATTCGACTTAGTTGCAAGGTGGAATGCCATTTTACTTCTTGATGAAGCGGACGTATTTATGGCTGAAAGAGAAGCTAGGGATATAGGGCGGAATGCTATGGTTTCAGGCAAGTGATTCAGCTCACAATAATCAATTAATTGATTAGCAAAGCCTGACCTGGAAATCTTAGTATTCCTTCGTGTCCTAGAATACCAAGCCGGTATCTTATTTCTTACAACAAACCGAATCAGTGAATTCGATAGTGCATTTCATTCGCGAATCCACATTACGCTACAATACTCGGCCGCAGAGAAAGACCAGCGTAGACTGATCTGGCGCGATCTTTCAAAGAAGCTTTCAACCTCTGCTTTGACCGATAAGGATTATGACAAGCTCTCAGAACGATCATTGAGTGGGAGACAGATTAAGAATGCGCTGCGAGCAGCATCGCTTTTAGTTTCTGGGGGTAAGACAAAAGGAGAACCGGTTACACTTGACAAGGTGCTCAATGTTCTGCAAATGATGTCGAATGATCAGAGTTGAGTACATGCCAAAAACACATTGAACGGTTAAGAGCACAGGAGAGAAGTCCGCCATTCGAATTAACTGGATTGAAAGTGCCTTTCTTTTGGTTATCTCTCAAGAAGGAGACAAGCGTTTAGATTTTGAATAAAACTTGAATTTCTGGCTTGGTAATTCTGACCGATCTAAGATTCTTCGATGAATCCGACAATGGAACGCGAGCGAAGAATCGCCGACCTCGAGCGGTTACTAGATGACCCAGCATGTGCGCGTCAAAGGGTTAATATTCTAGCACTTCTTGACTTATAACTACAGGTATAGGAAGCTCTGGCCATGGGTATACTAAATCATTCTTTGGCGAGGAAGGATAAGTTGTTGAGCGCATTCCGGATGATTTACATGACCAGCCTGTTTGGTACGAGGAAAAAGCTATCTTATTAGCCAGGAGAGAGATCCTGGAGTTTCATGGAGGCTGGGCCAATGGGGACACCGGTGCTGGGGGTCATGCAAGGCAGTTCAGAAAAGCCCAAAAGCGCAGGCCGAATTCGCATGAGGAAAAGCAGCAAGGCGAGACATGGCATCAAGCAAAACAACATACAACAGAGCCCTCTTATATACATGTCTCGATCACAGACTCAATCATAGTCCTGCTATGTCCCTGAATGTTGTGTCGTACGACCAAGAGCTCTGGAAGCATGAGCGTCACAATCCTTATAGGTTCTTCGCACAAGAGAGCGTCCACCAAAGGTGTTCGACCCCTGCAGGGAAGCCATGGGTCGGCCCCAGCATCTATCAGTAACTTGATAATCTGAATGTAGGAAGTGACCCGCCTATCACCTGGTTGAGGAACTTTGAGGCCGTTCACAGCATAGTATAGAGGGGTCATTCCATTCTTATCCATGGCGTCTGGGTCAATCTGATGCTCAAGAAGGAATTGAACTGTTTTTGGATTGCCATGCACGGCATAATGCAGAGCATTCTTCCCTGACTCATCTTTATAAGCAAGGTTGATTCCGCGAATGACAAGTACAAGTAAGGAGGACGGCGGCTCATGGAAAAGGCCCCAACTTTTAGGGGCATCGGTGTAGTGAATCAGCTCCAGCATCCAAAATTGCTCCTAATACATCTGGACCAGCCCTGAAAGCATCCCGTAGGATATTGGGATGTTCTAGAATGGCAGGGAGTTTCGTGCAGAGTAATTTGATGATCGACACCTGTTTGTAATACATAGCCCAGTGTAAAGCTGACCGTCCTGCCTGATCCTGTCGCTCAGCGTCGGCGCCATTTTCAAGAAGAATCTCAACGGCAGGCAGGTTGCACCCAGCAGCTACCATCAAAGGCGTAATTCCGGAGGACCGACTGCGGTTAAGGAGCTCGCATTTGCAGCTAAATTTTCTGATCGGATTCTCCCATAGTTGTGTATCACCATGACTCGCAAGCAAAATGGGTCTGTGCTGTGGAGATTTCCGGGGTATCCTGATTGAGGTAATCCAGAAAAATTTCCCGGAAATTTTTTCTTCGGCTCTTCCTTGCGGCTATGCGAAGTATTATGGCCCTGTTTGACTGGCAAGCCTGTCCTTGTGCGACTCATATTTTATTATATAGAGCAAGAAGCTCAAATTGCTTCTAAGATACTAGAATCATTATCAACATATACAACTATAACTGGATCGGTGTGAGACTTGATAGTCTTCCCTCTTTTCCCTTTATGTATCTTGCAACTGTCTGCAGAAACATGAGCAAGTTAACTTGTTCCTTCATGATAAGGCGCCCTCCAAATCTTCGCTTGCATGGAATGTTTCTTTACTTCAATCCACATCGGATGATCCCGGCTGCGAGCGTGTGATCTTATCAGATCGATCTTATCTGATAACACATCACGCCTTCCAGTCGCCGTGTGACATTGCTCCGTGACCAGTTCCCGCATGTCGCCATGGAGCCATCACTGGCCGTCGTCACCGTCAGTAGGGGCCATGTCGATGCAGGCATTGCGGCGCCATTCTTGTGACTGCTAACTAGCATTCGGATATTGTACCCACAGCATTCTTCTCCTAGCGGCGTGCTTGGTTGGTGGAGCACCCCATGGTCAATAAATGGCATCGCATCCCCCTCTCCCCTCTTGCTAGCAAACTCCTCCTCCTTCAAGCACTGTTCGCTAATACTCCGTGGTTGTAGCAAATAGATTAAGCGCGATGAAGCTCCCGACGCTGCCTGTTCTCCTTTCCTTATCTTTATCGTTCACTCTCGGAAGCGCATCTCCAGTCTTTCCTATCGCTGACAAGGACGCAGTTCGTCAGAAACCTATCGCGGCAGGCGACACCGTTCCATTTCATTCGAGTCCAGCTGGGGCTCCTACGAATATTCTATATGCAGAGGATGAGCCTGAACCCGGTTTCTCCACGCCTGACTGGTACACCACCCACCTCCTTGCCAGGAGACTCCTAGCGCTTTGAACCACCGGTGTTTTGTCAACCACATACTCGAAAAATCACCGTGACCCAGCACTAGCAGGCGTTCCAATCGGTTTGCCGGATTATTTTGCCGATTGTCACGGCGACCCGGCACTCCTGGACCTCTTGGGGCCCGGGAACTCTTTGCTCCTAGCGTTGAGTCTTGGGACCACTTTTCGAAACACCAAAGCCGGCTCCAACATTTCCCTGTCGATCGACTGGTGGCGCAATGCTGCATCGAGCAATAACGGCACACTGGAAAATACTCCAGCTGCGTTGCCTCGACTGTCGTTGCTCGGCTGGCTCGAACCATTACCGACAACCCTCCCTGAAACAACCAAGATAGCAGTAGAGAAATGCTTCTTGGGAGCGCATCCGGAAGCCAGGCACTGGCTACCCGACGACCCTGAGGCAGCGCATCGGGGATATTGGGCGAAGTTGGTTGTGCAAAAGGTCCTTTGGATCGGAGGTTATGGCGACCGAGCAAAAATTGGTTGGTTGAATCCCAGAACTTGGACGAGCATTGAGAAGCATGGCAGAGAGAGCAAGAAAGGCTGGGGTGATGTGAGACTGCCCGGAGAAAAGGCCAATTAAGTGAGTCAAAGTGTTTGGGCATCATTCAATGGAAGCACACCATCTGGTTTATGGTTCTCGCAGTTTGGGTATGTGAAGGGGTAGCAGCCGGGTTATAGCAGGAATCAATAGTTACCTACATCAAACCATTCTCCTAAGATGCACTCAATATTACTCCTAAAAAAACTCCAAGGTTTGAAAACCAGGATAGTTAAACAACAAATACAACATTCTTCTCAAATAAATCTTCAGAGACACGTTAACTAATAACTAACCAGCAGTATTGGTGTCCCTGTCGGAGGTTTTGTGCCCACCACTTACGGCACACGCCTGACCATTTATTTCTAGACGACTCAAACTATCTTGTCCACCTCAGCCTCGTCCACGAACCAGAAATGTCAGCCTGCTTGGCAGAAACAGAGCCTTGAGAAAGGCTAATAACTAATCCGATCAACCATCAGAGCCCCGTAAGACCTCCGCTCAGAGAGGCCCCCGTGATACGAATGAACCCTGGCTTGGTGCTGGACCGTGCCGTGGCCTGCTTCCCCAAGTCTTGGATTTGCGGCGTATTTTGGGATGCAAACGGTAAAATCGTCCTCTCGTGGCGCCGCGTGCGGGATCCGAGCTATCGCCGTCTGTGGAATCTGCCTGTGGCTTCTTGTCGTGAGAGGGTGCCGGCCTGGAGGCTTCGTTTGGCACAACGTGCGTTGCGGGTTTATAGATTCCGAAATGGCTGTTTTGGCCACCAAGACTGCTATTCGGTTGTGGCTGCTCCGCCTGATCTTTAGAGTGAGTGCTGATGTATCCCGAGCTATTATTATTTTGGCGCTGATTGAGGTGGGAATCTTTTTCGCAAGTTTGTGCGTTAAACTTGCTTCGACGGCCTCCTCGTCGTTGAGGACGCCCTGAAATCGGATCCCTGTGTCCCAACGCAGATTGCACATGCCGTTCGCTTCTTCCAAGACTCTGACCAACGTCGTGGAGACTAGTTTCTTGTGGGAGAGATCTTATGGGCGTGCATGTGTCCGTTCGAAGTATTTGAACATGCAATGCCACTGGTTCCTCCAATTTGCGCAGGATCCCAACCCGAATCGCCCTTTTAAGAAATCGAATAGAGAGAAGTTTTCGTTTGTAACCGGTACCCGTGAACTTTTCCTAAAAGAGTTCTTGCAAAGCATTTCGATAATGAGACGGTACCTGAGAGTATTGTCTCCAGAGCCGTTCTTCCCCACGGGTTGGTAAATCATTGTAACTGTACTCGACGCATTGAATCCAAGCGTTTGTGCTGAAATCGAGCATCCATTCCTCCACCTGTGAACCTTCAGTCACAATATTGTCTTCAAAGGAGTTTGGTTTCTTAGGGTTCATGAAGTGTAGCCTTAGTCTCGTTAATAGTGAAACTGAATATCCGAAGTACACAACCTACCAATTGATTGTACGGAGCCTCTTGAAGATATTGGTCTTCTGGCCGAATCTAGTCGTGCTAGGACCAGGTTCAACACCATCGCGGGTCCGAGGGGTGGGCGGTTTAGAGGGGTTATTTTCTGCGAATGATCGGGGTAAGGGATAGTTTTCATGATCATAGCATGAGTCGAACGGGCGATTTCTACTCATTCGCCATCGTCTCGGTCTTCCAGCTCTCTTTCGAGACGCCCGGTGAAAGGAAGCGACACGCTCTGGGCTTGGGGGGTAAAGATATCAACGATAGCACAACGTCATAGCAGCTTTGGGAATAGTGGCATACTTGCAGGCTGCTAATGATAATGTCAATTGAAGTTCGATTTGGATAGCCCGCAGTCGAGTCAATGATTCTTCAATTTTGTATTTTGCATATGGCCATTTCATCTTATGACGCTTCGAAACAGGGACCTCATGAGTCCCAGACGCACACAAGGGGTTCAAGATGCCCTTGATTTCCCACAGCGTCGCCATATACCCGCTCGAGTTTCGGAGAATGCATTCAACAGTAGTGTGCGCAAACAGCCCAGAGCGTGAATCGAAGTGTAACTCGAGCAGTCCGGGGATGTCTCTTAACACGGAGCTTGTGTCAACGATCTGACGGTGGAGGTCACGTATTTCTTCCTCCACATGTTTCACCGATTTGATATACTTGAACAGAGCCTCTGCAACGTTGAAAGAAATGTTGAGGATGCCGAGAATTGCGCTTATTGCATCCAGACCTGCCATCACAAACGGCTCTCATAGCTATAACTTTGATTTTGTGGTCCCTGTTTCGTAGACAGCCACGAGTCGCGACATTTATAAGACTTTCGAGTGCGGATAACGCGAGTATCCCATCATCCAGAAAACAGGAGCGCCCAAGTTATGCATTAGGGCTGAACTTGTCACACAGCAAGCCTATCGAGGCCTCAAATATAACGCTGGGAAAGAGGTTATTGTTTGAGAATACCAGCTCCGATCAGCGCCTCAATAGCCTCAGCGGTCCATTCCTGGCAGCGCCTAATCGATTCCTGTGGGTACAGCTTGTGCGGTCCGTCGAACTGTTTCTTAGGAGGTGGCACATGGCAGCAAACACCCCTAAACGCGTCAGGGTGTACAGATGGCTCGACGGTTGCCTAAGAATGACGGATCTTCCTCCGGTAGAGACCCTGTGGGCTTGTCCTCGTATGTCATACCGGCCTGAATGCTGCCTGTCACTTGATAAATGTGGCCACACCCGATGGTGGGATTGTTTGTTTCGACGAAAAGCGCATGGTGATCGCGCGGCAAGCCGGCGGAGGAAACACGATAGACGTTGTAAGCCATCAAAAAGCGAAGGCCTAAATGTGAGAGAAGATGTTTGCGAGTGATGGGGCCAAAATGGCTTTGAAATATATTTGAGGGCCTGATATGTCTCGCTGGCGGGCATCCTAGATAACTGGCTGATGTGGAGGAAGGACGCTTTCCCTCATCTGGAGCATTGGGCTCAAACCTCGATCGTGATTGTGACCAGCGGGTTTGCTGGAGCACGCAGCTTACCGACCGAAGAAAGAAAAGGGACTTTAAACGATAATAACGGGCCACTTAAGAGGCGAATTCTCACATGTTTGCTGTTTTCTCTGATGGATTGGAGATACTAAGTACAGTTCTGGGGGAAACGTTGGAGCTAGGTGAGTACTTTGCTCAGGTTGACGCTGAAACCTGCGGATATCAATCCTCTTGGGCCACTGATCAAGACTTGACAGTACATATCGTTTCTTCTCAGCGCCCATAGCTTTTGATAATGTTCCTACGCCCCGTCAGGAATTTTCATGACGGTCCACTACCTTTTGGTTTCATGGCATTAGCTGATCGTCCCGAATTGAACCCGTTCAGAAGAGGCCTGAGCCAGCTTCAAGGCCCGCGGCTGCCCATGTGGAATGTGTTGTTAATCAGACACCGGATGAACGGAGCAACAATCGATTCCGAGTCGCCAGCGTTAGATGGCCCTATATTGCATGAAAGCGGAGGAGGATCTTGAATATCGCATCCGCTGTAAATCATGGCGGAGCTTGCCGATTTTTCGATTCCTTCATCACCTTGGTCACACCTGTTGAAGCCCGTCCAACCTCGCCCCCATCTTTCTTTGCGGCTTCAACTCCACGCTGGACTGGCTGTTGAAACCTCTGTGCAAAAATCCTCACTCTATCCTCGGTAGATTCATACATTTCCCCCTCTTCGTCCTTTGGTTGGCCGAATAGATTTAAATAGGCAAAAGGAGAAGATTTCGTGGGCAGAAGATGTTGTGCTGTATGAAGAAGAGGGAATGACAGGTCACAAATGCTAACACCTTGCTCTTGTTCTGCCACAGTCATGAGGTCCAAATCACACATTCCCGCACGCAGGAAATCGGCTAATGCCTGTAGTATTTTAACCATAGGCTTCCCGTCACTACCCGCCTTTCCAAATGATGCCCGGTTTGAAGACCATTTCGCAGATTCTTCTGTATGCCAACCCAGAATGGAGAGAAAGCAATTAAGGGTTTTAATCCAGCCACCTGCACAAGACACAACCTCTTGACCCGCGACTGAAACTAACCATGAAAGGATCTCCACCGCTGAAAGGCGAATGTCTGCTGCAAGGTGCGTCATCCCCGCACGGATATATGGAAGCATTAAGGACGCATGGCCTTCCATGTCTGCCTCCGGAAGTACTTTAAGTAGCTTGAGCAGCTGCGTTCGCACCCCGTTGCTGCCGTCTAGAATCAACGGGAGTAGGGATGGCAGGATCACGCTAACAGGCTGCGGCAGGGGTGAGTGAACTGGACGAGAAGCAATTGCAGTAGTTAAGTTTGACAGCGCCTCTTTACGCTGCGTATCTGACTTGGAGCCCAAGAGGGAGAGAGAATGGGAAAACTGCGCTGTTGCAGAGGGTGCAGCGGCAGAAAGAGATTGCTGATTCAGAACAATGGCTGCAATGAAACAATAAGTATGTGAAGCATCACACAGGCGACCAGAATCCAGTAGGATACATACACTTTGACTTGAAACTGGTGTCTGTGAAATTGGCAGCTTTGGGTTTCGCTTTGCCGACTTTCAGCTTTGCTTTCTAGGGGCCGATTAGCATCAATTGCCTGAAAAAGACACGATATCCTACTTGAAAATCCTTCTTCTTTTCATTCTTCCGTTTCTGGCTGGAACCCATTGTGAATTCCAAATGAAAATCTCGCAGCTTGTAGCCGTTGACTGTGGCCTTTGCCGCTGAAAACTTCTCTCCATGTCAAGAACAGCTTCAATTGCGACGAAAATCCTGCTTAGTCATCGAAACACTGTTGATGCTTCTATTGAGCTTACGGAGATGAACTATCAACAGATACATATTGCAGGCGGAACCGTCTTTTGCTGCTCTGAAGGCATCTTACAGGTTGTCTAGACTACAGCCAGAAATCAGACAACTATGATTGAGACAATACCTGTTAGTGGACTTGTTGCGTTTGAAGAACCCTCCACTGACAAGTGCTCTGTAGGCATCCCAAATTCCCCAACATGTCGCCGCTCAATTGGCCCACCTTACTTCTCGCCCAAGCGTACTATCCACGCTCATATTATCTCGAAAAGACGGGTCCATAATCCAGGTGACCGGCGAATTAGCCTCACAGCCGAACGCGACTAGCAGTTTAAATTCTACGCCGACCGCGCCAGGAGCGGAAGCACTTTCTTCGATAGAACAAGCACCAGCATCGCCTACGGATGGGAGTACAACACCGACATCGAACACAAGCCCTGCACAAGCTACTTCTTACAAACCTACTCAAGCCGAGACGTTAGCAGCCCATATATATGCCTTTGTTTCCTCGGCGTCGAGTTTGAGTATTGCGCTATCTAATCCCTCAGCGAAGCAAAGGGACAGCGAACTAGGTTACGGAGTACAGGAAGCGTCGAGGAACGGATTAAATGGAAGCAACGGGGTAGCTGCGGAAGAAGATAAAGTCAAAGAAGCCGGAAAGGATCGTGAAGACGACGATGAGGTCAAATTGCTACGGTTAAGGACGAAAGCCCATGAAATTATTATCATTCCCGACCGGAGGTTTCTGCTATGCGTTGTTCATGATGCTTCTGCTGGTGGGACCGGTGTAGGTGGTGGTGCGCCTCATCGTTGATTCGAATCGTACGTTGCAACTATTGGGATATCGTGAGATCCAAGTTTTTCATGGAGGGTAGTCAAGCTGAAAGGGGACGTGACGATACGACTACAATTTTTTTTTGATACCCATTACCGAGATATTCATATACTAATACATAACCCCTCACCCTTGGCTTGATGCGTGCGATGTGAAAGGGTCTACACTGATGCTTACGCAACCGAAAGGAGAATTGCTATGTACTTTTGGTGCAATTGCCGTACTAGCTGTTCTTGATACATTACATTCGACAACTGATCCGTCGGTATATTAAAAGATATTACCAACACTTTTGACCAGAGGATCGGCACCGTATAAACACGATCAAAGCGTCATATCAAGATTACTTCTTGTCTATACAGACTATTAGCAGTATATCCCGATTACTGTGGCAAAGCTCACTCACCGCCGCCCATTCCCATAGTCTTTGACATAGACTCAGTGGCCTTGTTGGTGGTCTCCTTGGCCTGATCCATGGCATTCTGTGCGGTCTGCTTAGCACCTTCAGTGCCGGATTTCGTGCTTTCAGACATCCGCTCAGAGGTGTTCTTAGTGTCACCTATGGCGACAAGTTAGACATGCTAGAAGCGAGAGTATCGAATTGACAGCGAACGTACCGGGCTGCTGGCCGGTAAACTGTTCTGCTTTGTCGGCCATGTTTGATGCGTGATCTCCTGGTATTCGAAAGCGCCTTGTTAGCATCATCTCCGCCCTAGAACTAGACATCTTCTGTGCGGTTGAGATACTGTACCTTGAGTAGAAATATCTCTTGATGTTCACTGGTATTGGTAGAATTCTGGTCGTGAGAAGTGATAAGAGCTCAAGAGAGGAGCTCCCGCCACGCTACCTGAGGTTTCATATATGCCAGCCCGGTCCGACTGATGTCATGCATGTACCCTTACAACTCTACTTACCCCGCAGACTGCAATTCATCATAGATCTAGGTCACATGGATAAAGCCTAACCTTGATGGAGGCTTTTGAGTCTCGGCTCTCAAGCAGAGGTATCCGTGAGTAGAAGACGAATAGAAGATTTTACGGTTAGATTTCATTATTCTCATAAGGTCGTAGGAGAGCCGGAAAAGCGGGAACATGGATATCTAAAGCGTGAAGGAACCCATCTAACCATCTTCTGCACCTCCGCCTGGACCCTCCAGGTAGTCTTCTTTCTCCGCAGCTTCATATTCTGCCACCAAATCCATAACAACAGCTCGTGCCTCATCAAACTCTCCTAAGCCGTCCGCAAATGGCGCTTCTTTCTTATATTGCTCTAAAAAGGCATTGCGCTTTCGTAGCCTGTCGTACTGGCTTACAATTCTCTTGAACAAGGTCGCTACAGATGTATGATTCGCAAGCATCAGGCCGCTAACACGATGAGTGTTAGAAAGGTAAGGAGACTTCTTGGGGATGGCCACTTGGATGCTAGCGGGACCCCAGGGAATGAAAGCCGCGAGGCGCCGTTCACGAATGCGGAGTAGAGATTTGTGCACGTCCGTTTGATCAGCTTCGCCCTGTATGATGTTGAGGATGCTGATGTAGCAACTTGATTTGCTCGGATTAATTGAGACCATGCGATTTTTGGGCTGGAGTAGTCGGCGCATAACGTCGAGAACTGTGGTTTTGCGAATAGTTTTTGCCTGTTCGACGTTGTCTCCTGTGAAGGGTGTATAGGAAGTGATGAGGAAATGGGAGCGAGGGATCGGGATGAGGGATGCGATGATACTTCCAAGGTCATTGTGCATGTACCCAGGGTAGCGTAGCGTCGTGGTCGATGCTGACATTACGGTCGATACCTTGTGGTTGTCAGCACGAGAGCGTAACTAGACAATGATGTTCACACTTACCAATTGGTTGGTTTGTTGGAAGGAGGGTTCTTGGACATGTAGTCTATCAGCGGCGATTCTAGACAAAGCGCCGTTATCAAGTACGACCTAAGAGGCGTAAACATCTTGTCAACCAGCTGCCAACAGCTCTTGACATACCACAGAGTCCGCATTCTGAGTCAACCTCCTCATAGCTAGTAAGCTGTTGTACGGATTGACGACAACATCAGCCGATTGTGTATCGGGGAAAACGGAGTAAGTTTGGATCAGCTTTTTCGGAAACCTATCGTTCATCCGTTCCAGCAGGAAACTCCCAAGGCCAGAACCCGTTCCTCCGGCGATGGAATGGAGGAGCATAAATCCCTGTTTCTGCTGTCAGCGGGAATGCGAATTCATTTCCAGAATATCTATACGCGCCTCTAAAGAATCGCTTCCATCTGCTTCTCTATCTATCATGTCAAAAACCTCCTCTTGCACCGTTTCTCCAGTGGCATATCCGGCAGCCCAGTTATTTCCGGCACCAATTCCTTGTTTGCCAACGAAGAAGTTTTCGGGATTGTATATATTGCTATATGGACCGGTTTGTATAGCGTGGAGAACCTATTTCGTCAGAGACTAGGTCAGTCTAACCAACCCTCTCTCGTCATACGTTATCCCAAGGTACATACCCTTGGTTCGAGGTCGAGGAGGATTGCGCGAGGGATGTATCGAGTGTCGTCACTCTAGAGAATAATTATATTAATATATTATGAAGGGAAAACAAATGATACCAAGGCTGTTGTCATACCTGATAGAAAAACACATCTTTGCGGTCGCCTCCTTCTGTAGCGAATTCTTCTAAGTTTCCGTCTTGATTGATTCCATGTTCAAGGCAGAGTTGTTGCCAGAACTGCGCGCCAACTGCCCGTATTAAATATTAGCTCCAATAGTAGCCTCCAATGCTTTGCAAGTCCAAGAACTGGGTTGCTTAGGAGTACTTCGAGGGTCGGCATCGGGGTTGGAGGGACGTACTGTTATTGCCACATTGGCCGGCTTGGATGGTTATTATCTCCCTATTGACAAGGGCTATTAGCAATCTATGAAAAGCTAACTGATTCCAAAGGCTGTACTTGAGCGTACCTGGGCATCGTGTTGGCATTTCAACTCATTGCGCACGGAGGTTGGTGGACGAGAGCGGGACGCGTCGCGTCAAATCGAGTGACGGCCACTTTTGAAGTGGTCATCTCGGCGGTTTCGACGTCGGTTCTCATCACTCCTCCCCATCCCATAGACAAACTGATCACACCAGCAGTAATCAATTCCCTTTGAATGGTTCGCAAGAGTAATAAATATAGGACCTTGTCTATTCGGTGGTTTTATTGAGAATTCTCGTGGTAAATGCACGACTTCGCTTGATTGGACGAAAAGGAAGGGTGCCGGGTAATTGTCACTCAAGGCCCGAAACTTCCGTCAGGGACTTGAACCAAGCGATGGCCATGTTGTTTATAAAATCTACAGATATTTTTCTACGTATACCAATGAGATCCAAACCGTTTTCTGTCATGCGTAGGAAGCAAGCACCAAAGAGCGCCTATCTTGCCTTGAGCAGCGTGGTTTCCGACTGATTAACTAATGCTTGTGCTGTTTGGTCGGAGAGTATAATCTTCCGATCCGGGAATTACACGTGACACAACCCGGTATTACAATACTCGTAAAACGGTATTATATATGCCGTAAATACATACGTATGAATACAGCGTCATGTAATATGTAAGAAGATTATTTACAACATACACAGATACATACATCCATCCAAGACACGCAGATCCTTCACGAAGTATGGAGCTCATATTCCCAGGAATAGAGGCCATATAGCCCTTAGAGCTGAAAGAGCGAGGCGCAGCTTTGCCCCCATTGTTCCATCTGTCGGGGCTCGAATCGCAACGGTAGGATTTCACACGTCCAGACAATCCTTCTCCCACCTTGCTGGTGGACCCGGTGAGGTCGAATCGGTTTCGGATACTTCCTGGACGCCCTGGGGTTTTCGCTATAATTACCCGATGGACGTGATATCCCGGAGGTCAACTCTCAAGGGACCATCCGTTGTACTGAACCGTCCTGGAATTCGCAGTCGATTTTAACAAATTTCAGATAACACGGCAGGAACAAGAAATCATGGCTTCTTTCCCACCTTCTCCGCTGGAAGGTCTCGGTATGTACGATTTAGGACCTCGCAGGACGTATCATAGAATGATGGTATTAACTCGCCATATCCAGAGTGGGACAAACTGGGCTTGGTGCCCATGGATGGTTAGTAATCGCCGTTCCTTGTGCATTTGCACCCCTGGACACAAACCGGAAATGCTGCCTGAGTTCGATATGAAGGGAACGGTCAGCTAATTGTCCTATGATATCAGTCAACGGCCACGTAGAGTGCGAGTACACTATCAAGACGGGCAAGTGGTCAGAGCCTCGATTTGTCCAGGACCCATTTCTCCGAATCCATGGACTTGCTCCGGGTTTGAATTACGGTGCGTCATACCAAACCCGATTCTGCAAGTAGTACACTAATTTTCCATAGGTCAGCAAGCTTTCGAAGGACTGAAAGGTAGGGCAAGATTGGAAGGCTCCCTGAATGCTTCTGTTGATGGCGTCTGGTAGCATATCGCGACCCCAAGGGCCAGATCCAAATATTCAGACCAAAAGATCACGCTGAGCGACTAGCTTTGTCGTGCTCAACCATTGCCATCCCGGCCGTTTCAGAGGAGCTTTTCCTCCGCAGTATTAACCTTGCAGTTGCTAAAAATGCCGAATATGTCCCTCCTCATGATTCGGAGGCTGCTTTATATATTCGACCCCTTGTCTTTGGGTCCGATGCGTGGGTCGCCGTTTCCGCCGGTATTGGGTACCGGATGTGCATTTATGTGCAGCCATACAAAGCCTATCACGGTATCAATCCACTTCCAGCGTTGATCCTAGATGATTTTGATAGGGCATCACCCAAGGGTGTTGGGCATGTTAAAGTTGGCGGAAACTATGCCCCTGTATTGAAATGGAGTGACCAGGCACGAGCCGAAGGGTTCTTTATCACCCTGCACCTTGACAGCCGGACCAACTCAGAGATCGATGAGTTTAGCACGTCTGCCTTCATTGGCATCAAGAAGGTTGGCGACTCATACACTGTGGTTGTGCCCAATAGCCGATCTATCTTGAAGAGTGTTACCAGCACCAGCTGCCTTGACTTAGCAAAGTCCTTTGGATGGAGTATTGAAGTTCGACCGGTGCGTTGACGATTGGGCGGTGTTTGCGGGAGCTTGCATATCGATCTTTGACTGACGAACTTTTCCAGGTACCGTATTCCGAGCTTCCCTACTTCACGGAGATCCTTGCAACTGGCACCGCTGCCATGGTAGTTCCGATCCATTCGATTACTCGGAAATCCACTGGAGAGAAATTTGAATTCAGCACCGGTGGGCCTGGGGAGTGCTGTAAGAAGTTATCAGGGGCACTCATGGCGGCTCAGAAGGGTATCAATAGCAATGACTTTCAATGGCTATGGCAAGTATCGCAAGTTGAAGATGAGGCTTCACCAGCGCAGAGCGGCTCTGGGTAGTATGTAGCCTCTGCATGTCAAAGACATCTGAGGACAGGTCCTGTTACAATAGGGATCGAAGATTGCTTGGAGATTTGAGGTTCAAAGTTGATAACGACTTGTAATTTATTCTGTCACGGCAATACAATGGTAACTTTGATAATTTTGTGACGGACGATCTTTGGTTCACCAACGGCTTCATCGGCCCAGTAGCTACCTCCTTTGCTTGAAAAGCCCAAACGATGGACATATGTTGGATGTCCGCGATTGCGGATGATAAAATGATAACCATGAATGAGGGGATCCTAGAGCTAGTTGAAGTTTTCTTGACATGCGCAGCATAATGAGGGCAATTCGTATAAATACCCTACCGGCCCCAGCTCCACGGAAGCTAAAATCCATAGCATGTCGACTTCTTCTTTCACTATCATACCTCTGTCGGTCGTTCAAGAATGGGGCTTTTCAGCGTGATGGAACTCGCAGAGAAGCTTTCCAGTGGTTTGAGTACACAAAATGTGATACTCGCGGGCATCGCAGTCCTTCTCGCAATTAACCTAAAGGGCCTCCCTTGTGTCTGGCATGTATGTATTTGCTCTCCTTTCAAAACCCGTCGGCACTAATAGCATTACTCCCAGATCCGATTATTCAGAGGCCTCGCGACACAACTGTTCCTCGAAAATCCCGGTAAAAAATTGGTGGGAATTAATGGCTCCGCGCCCCGTCTCTTTTCGTATCTAGTGACCACTCACCGCAATCCGCCCATTGAATGCGACTACAACATGCACAAATCCAATAGTACTTTCTTTTCCGATTTGGATATCAATCGCTCTCAGTTGCTCGTCGCGCTATTTAACGGAATTCCGCGCTGGTCGCCCACACCTGGAGGAAAGGAAAAACGCCTCATGGTTGCCCTTGGAGGGACGTCTTGCGTGTTTAAGCGCGAGATCAAACCGTTTCAAGCTTATGAAGTATGGTCACGGGTGCTGACGTGGGATGAGAAATGGTTGTATATTGTCAGCTATTTTGTCAAGAAGGGAACCGGGAAATCCGTTTTGAAAGCCGTCGAAGAGAAGGAAAAAGGTCAAGGTCAAAATGCTGGGTTTGATTCAAGCAAGGCAATCTTGGCGTCATCCGTGTCGCGCTACGTCTTCAAATACGGGAGGATGACTGTGCCGCCGGAGAGCGTGTTAACGAAGACTGGTTTGTATCCGGATATTAGTTCATCAGAGGAGCCGGACAAGGAAGACGGTTCGCACACCAAGACGGCTACTGCAAAGGAAAAGAAGTCATGGGATCTAAACATGTTCGAGGCTCAGAAAGTGCGCGGATTGGAAGCAGCGATGTTATTTCAGGGATCGGATGCTGTTGGTTCGCATTTTGAGGAGATGGCAGTTTCAGTCCTTGGAAAGTATGCGGATATATGACAATTGGATTGAGAATTTCAAGAATGATATTTTCACTCTATATATCTATGATCCCGATACGATGAGTCCAGAAACGAAAACAAACAAGAGAGTTCGGGAAAGAGATCAAACGAAACGAGGGATTATGTTATGGGCGCCAGGCCATTTAATCCCTTTGAATAGTATTTTAAGAATTATGAAAATGCGCCGAAGAAAGTATATGCCAAATCATTCTCGAAGGAAATCCGGGTGTCAATAAGTGTGAATAGGGCTCCTGCGATGACTGTCCCCTCTTTTGCGCGAAAGCGATTCTTTTGAATGAAATGTAATAAAACAATAAACAAGCAACGTGACAAGTTCAGGGTGACAGGTATGCCCTCAAATGAATATACAAAGGAAGAAACTAATAAGTCGTAGCTTCGTAAAACCAATGTGAGTACCGTTTATCTGTATGGCGACGGTGATCGGCGATTAAACGGTCGCAGCTCTTCAGCTGGATCCGAATCGGGCAACTTCTGCATATCTTTATGCTTGCGCTGCTTTGAACAGCAGCAGCAGATGAATCGACCAAGCCCAAGAGATGGCATTTTGGCATCAGGCCCTTGTAGGACTGTGCCTGGATGCACCACATTCCAAACTCCGATGGCAATCAGCATGGGAGCAGCGTCAAAGGCATAGATATACCACTCGTTGAAAAGAATAGGGGTTTGACAGGTTGTCACCGTTTGCGAACTCGATCAATCGGAAGATGATGCGCACAGTGATCGCCAACAAACTTCCGTACAGGCCATAGAGGAGTCCCCTCCACTTGGCTTTGGGGCCAACAAGGACTCCGTTGCGGTCCAAATGGAGCATCTGGCGATGAAACTGAATCGCCAGGATGAGAAAAAGGAGGATAAAGAATTCCTGAATACCAATTCCACCCATGTAGATGTGAATACCTCTCATGACTGCTTCCTGGGATTGACCTGGCCCAGCCATACCGCCACCGATTAACTGGATGACAAATGCAGCGATATCAAGAATAACAAAAAGTTTGGCTAATAAAGCTGGCTTGAAAATGCCAATGCGGCGTTCTGGGAGAAAGAAGTTGATCATCCGGGCAAGGACCATGTAATCGAACGCATTGACCCCTAGGAAGAGAAGATCTGTCAGTAGAGAAGCAGTATGCAGAGAGAATTAACAGGCTTACACAGTGGGAATCCC